GAAGCATGTGACAACCATACTCTCGTACAACGCTGCCCTCTAACGTGCCCCATACTTGATAAAACCGCTGACGCAGCGGGGGTGGGGTGAAAACGGAGCGCCTTACACCACGCAGCGAGCGCTGCCTAGGCATCCAAGATCCCAGGGCAGCACCGGACCGCCACGCGGGGCGCTCCTAACCCCTAACCCTGGTGACGCAGCGGGGCGGGGTGGGTACGGAGCGCGTTGGATCGTGCGGCGAGCGCTGCCCAGCCACGCAGGACCCCGGGGCACAACAGGGGGCGCGCCCCTACCCCCTAACCCCTAACCACTAACCCCCAACCCTGATGCAGCGGGGGTGGGGTGGGTACGGAGAGCTTCGGAGCGGTTTGCACGCGCTGCCCAGGCATGCAAGATCCCAGGGCAGCACCGGACCGCCAGGCGGGGCGCCCCTAACCCCCTAAACCCTACCCTAACCCTGACGACGTAGCGGGGCTGGGGCGGGTACGGAGCGCCTTGGAGCGGTTAGCGAGTGCGGCCCAGGCATGCAGGACCTGGTGTTCGGGTTCAGGGTTTGGGGTTTAGGGTTTAGGGTTCAGGGTTTAGGGTTTGGGGTTTAGGGTTTAGGGTTCAGGGTTCGTGTGTTAGCGTTTGGGGGATAGGGTTCAGGGTTTCGGGTGGGGAGTTGGGGTGGAGAGTTAGGGGTTATGGCGGCAGGACCCCCGGGCAGCGGCGGAGCGCCAAGCGTCGGAGCAGGATGGCGTCGGAGCGCGCTTTGGCGTTGCGGGTATGGAGGAGCGCGCGGTTCAGGGACGCGGCGAGCGTCGCGTTCATCATGCTGCGTTTCGGGTTGAGGGGTAAGGGTTGAGGGCTCTGGGGGTCTCGGATCAGGGTACAAAATTTCGGATCTGGGGATAAAAGTTCGGATCCGGGTAAAAGATTTCGGATCCGGGTACAAACTTGCGGATCCGGGTACAAAATTGCGGGTGTGGAGGAGGGCGCGGTGCAGGGAGGCTGCGATCGTCGCGTTCATCATGCTGCTCAAGGTTTCGGGGTTAGTGTTTCTGGTTTCGTGCTGAAGGGTGAGGGTTTCATGTCGCGTTTTTCGGTTTTCGTGTTTCGTGTTTCGGGTTGAGTGTTGAGTGTTGAGTGTTGAGTGTTTCTTGTTTCGTCCAGGGTTTCGGGTTTCGGGTTTCGGGTTTCGGGTTTACGCGCGGGACAGCCTGTGGGACAGGGATTACCGGTTGCTCTGCTCTTACTATTTCCTGTGGTCCGTACTGACATGACAAAACAGCAAGGCGCCTTTCTGCCCCGCTGGCTGGGTGGGGGCACGCCTGTCCGCAACGGCGGATCCGTTCGCAGAGGTGTTCGATATGAGCTGTTGGACGTGGTGCGCGATATGTGTTGTGTGGAGCAGGTGCGGTGAGGCTGGGTGGCTTCATGCCTGTCCGCAACGGCAGAGCCGTTCAAGGCGGTTTGCGATATGTCCCCCCCCTGAATCCCCCAACGGCTGTGTGGAGAGGAAGGTGAGGCTCGACTGGGTGGGGGCATGCCTTGGTAGGAGGTGGAGTTAGAATCCATCCGGAAAATGCTCGTATGAGCGGCCGACACGGGGTACAGTAAGTGGCACAATGCGTAGCATGTGCGGCGCTGACGCTGGTTGTTTGGCAATAAATTATCAATCTCTCTGGGGGCATGCCTGTCCGCAACAGCAGAACCGTTGGAGGCGGTTTGCGATATGTTCTCCCCCTGCGCGGGCGGCGAAGCATCCAGCCTCCTCTCTATCTGCTCCGGTTTCGGCGCGCGTGTCAGAGGGTGTGGGAGGGTGGGGAGGGTGTGGGAGGGTGTGGGAGGGTGTGAGAGGCTCCCACGTGTCAGAGGGTGTGGGAGGGTGTGGGAGGGTGTTGGAGGGTGTCAGAGGGTGTGGGAGGGTGTTGGAGGGTGTCAGAGGGTGTG